ACCCTTGATCTGCCTCTCGCTTCGCTTGTGCAATCAGTTGTATGGTTTGTGCTGCGAAAAGGGATTTTTCCTCGGCTTGCCTGGCATTGCAACAACTGATTTCCTTTGGCAAGAATCAGAACTGCTGACAGTCAGATCAGCCCCTGGCGAAAAGCTTAACTACCACGTTTTGCCACTCGATGCAGTGGCCGTGTGGTCACAGTTTTGATGATGGAACGAAGCCCCTTTGATTGGCTTCGCTTGCTCTTCGCTCGTGCACTGACCCTTTTGACAGACTTTCGTAGCGAATTCAGGCCCATAGATAGTATGTAGCCAACTTTTCTCACCTGTCTCACCTCCGTACAGAGGAAACACTGTTTGGATGATGGGGAATCGGCCTCTGGCCTTTTGGTGTTGTTTGGTTGGGGTTGTTTGGTTTGTTTGGTTTGTTTGCCTTTTGGGGTTTGCTTGTGTTCTTTTCCCCATCATCATGTTGTGTTTCCTTTCCTTTCAATGATGACCTGGGCACTCCGCCCACATGGCGTCCGTACTCGTGGAAAAAAACAATGGACGGACGATTCCGAGCATGATCCGAGAATGATCCGAGACCGTCTCGCACCCGTCGTTCCGCAGACCTTGACTTGCCAGCTTCGGAGCCACCGGTTCCATTGAAAAATGCAGCATTTCGTGCGTTCGCTATCTGTCCACAACGCATGTTGTATTGCGCCTGCCACGACATCTGCACATGGAGGTGCACAAAGTGCTGTGCCTGCCACGAAATCTGCACATGGAGGTTCACAAAGTGCTGCGCCTGCCACGAAATCTGCACATGGAGGTTCACAAAGTGCTGCACCTGCCACGCAATCTGCACCTGGAGCTGGAGTTGCCTGGAGCTTGAGCTGTTGAAACCAGAGCTGGTGTAGGAGCGGTGTATGATGAGTGGTGTATGATGAGTGGTGTATGATGAGTGGTGTATGATGAGTGGTGTATGATCAGTGGTGTATGATGAGTGGTGTATGATGAGTGGTGTATGATGAGTGGTGTATGATGAGTGGTGTATGATGAGTGCTGTATGATGAGTGGTGTATGATGAGTGGTGTATGATGAGTGGTGTATGATGAGTGGTGTATGATGAGTGATGTATGATGAGTGGTGTATGATGGGTGGTGGTTGAACAGCTGTTGAATGTCCGTAACACGGAAGTTTTGCACACTAAACTTCCTTTGACGATGATCTTTTACTTACTTTTGTTTCACAAGGGCCGCTTAAACATTACCTCAACTGTAGCACTGCAGAACTACGCAAGATTTGTTTCGTTTGTCGTTACCCTAGCGTCCTTTGCACTACACAGAGTCACCGAAATCTTTCAGTCACTGGAGAGGATGAGCTCGACTGTATAGTTACGGCTTTGTCAGGCACACAGCCAGTCTCTGTTGTACTATTTCAAGTCCAAGGTTTCGTACAAGAAAATATTGTGCAACTCTATCACAAGGCTGGCAATCTTCAACAAGTCTGTCTCTTTCATGAGTGCTTTGTCAATGCTACGAGTGTAGATCTCACTACAGCAGTTTGTACTTCCCTGCGAAGGCACCTTTCGCGGGTCCATGTTGTCTCAAAGTATAAGAACTTCCAGACTGTTCAACCCGGTCAGATGAAAGAAGTCATCAGGAGTATCTACTTCATCGTACTATATTCTCCGCATAGCACTGGAAGCTTTGAAGTCATTTCTCCATGCATTGAATATGCTGAAACTTGGTTATGCAACAGCCCTGCTCTCACTACCAAGATCCATGATGCTATAAAGGCCATCCCAGGAATATTTCGCTTGAAATGGCACAGACATGAAGTCCCTCTCCATCCTGCTTTAGGAGCTACGGACAGATGTTGTGCACCCCTCTCTTTTGGTCAGGCAGCAAAAGTGCAGTACCCACGTTCTTTCAGCATGATTTCATTGCTTTCCTTGATGTACGATCCTGTACCAAGCAGCGCAAAAACAGAATCCAAGAAATCGTCATCTCCATGGATATACCATGTCATGTGCAACAAAGATCCGCATTGGTCCTTTATGCTTCAGGTGTCATCCTTGAAACTTTTCAGCAAGCTGTCTCTCAGGAGAATATCATCCTTCCCTTTGGAAAAGAACAAGGTTTTTCCAGTGTGCCTTTGCTCCAAGCAGTCTTAAGGATGCATGGCAGATTGACGTCCAGCCTATTGGAAGCACTCAGTATGAAGCCTACCGGATTGAGGATGATGGTACTCTCATGTCTCGAGAAGGTTTGGTGCATCCAGAGCTCTCTTCCCACCTGTGTACTCATTTTGGAGCCTCGCATATCCGTCCAGCAGTAGTCCATATCCAAGGCAAAGGCCAGCAGAAAGTTGTTGCATTCATTGCTCCTTCAGGCATACAATCGCACGCGCCTGGCATTTTCCGTGATCATCAGGGCTATGCTCGTATTCTCCAGTATAAACAACCTGATGTGTTCACTCAGATGCCCAGACATCTAATATCTATGTCAAAGAGATGCGTGCAGATCATCATGTAATTGCTCATGCCAAAGGGCTCAATCAAGGAGCGAGAACAATCGGTTTCGTCCCACGTTGGGTACCCTCGCAATTTACCTTTAGGGGGACCCAACCCCACCTGGTGTAGCCCAAGGAGGATCATTTTGTTCATCATCAGGACGAGGAGACGGAAGAAGTCAACGCATCAGGTTCTGGGTCCCTAGACAAGCGAAAGTGTTTCAAGTGTGGCCAGAAAGGTCATCTGAGCGCGAACTGTCCGGAGTGCAAGAAGCAGGATGGATCACTTTCACCCATGAAGGGTTCGCCGAAAGAAGGGGAAGAAGGGACAAGGCAAGGATAAAGGGATTGGGAAGGGCAGCAGGTGGAAAGTCCGGGAAAGGCAAGGGTGGAGGCGAGAAAGGCAAGATGCATAAGGTGTCGGAGGAGACAACATTGGAGGCTGGGAAGAAGAGTAGTGGGCAGAGGATGCTTGGTACCGCCAATGTCGCGGTATTGATGCCACTTCTGATGAGTTGTTGATCAGCAGCACGGTGATGGCTGAAGGCCATTGGTGGTTGCTTGATTCGGGAGCGTCCGTGTCAGTGCTATCTGCAAGTTAACAGTCCCAGTATCGCACACGTCAGCAAGAGGCGGCAGGAACAAACACAAGGTTTGTAGCCGCGAATGGTTCGGAGGTTGTGATGTCATCGGAGGTCGTAGTGAGCGTGCAGTTGGAAGCTCTTGACAATGAGGGCAGGTTGAAGTCCATTCAGGCACAGGGCACAAAAATGCGTCAACGAGCGGCCCCTATTTTGGGGGACGGAATCTGACCCCCAAAATGGGAGTTGATTTGAACGTTATTTCGCATTGCTATTTCGTGGTCTCATGACCCCGGTTTTTGGGATCAGAATCCGTCCCCGAAAATAGAGGCCGCTCGTTGACGCATTTTTGTTGCGCTTCCGTCAAACAATATTGAAAACCACACGGTCGACCCGAGCCATTCCAGGTGCGAGATGAGATTGCTGCCCACGAACGTCAAACGTTGCAAGTCCAGCGTCGACGCTCCGACACGCCCAATGTTTCCATCGCATCCAACGGCGACTGTACTGCCCTGTGGTTCTGAAACCGATTTTCTCGGTTAGGAGACAATGACAGCGTGAGGTTTGCCTGGATTCGAGCCTCGGGGAGGTGTTTGGGCAGAAACACTTTTGGACTTCCATCCTCGTGGAAGCTGAACTGAGCACCAAGGTTGGGTTCTCGAGCGTTCCGACTGAGGCCAACATCAGTGATTTCCCATCACGGTTGAGTCCACACCCATTTTTGAGTGCTGAGCTTGAATGCTCTGACCTTGCACGTGACGTTTTTTGCAAATTGAAGGATTCGGTTGTTCACCTTAAGGAGATCCACGAAGAGAAGTGGGGGGGATAAATCGTGGCTTCCCCTTTCAGTGAAAAGAACCCGTTGAACTTCACTTTCAGTCATGAGACACCAAACGTGGAAGTGACACAAAAATTTTCAAAGGCTCAAGCGAAAGACCAATGCTGATTCTTTCTCATAAATCATATATAGTTGTTTGGGTCTTCACTTTGAAAATTGCAGAACATCGTTCTGCTGCGTAACAACGAACCTCCAAACTCAAGCGAAGGGAACACTGGAATCACATCAGCTACAATGAAGTGCAAAAATCCACGAAAACACAACGAAACTACGAACCGGATCAGGCATTTCATGGGTCACCATGAGTTTCCATTCTTTTCTTTGACCAGACGACGGTTCTGCGTCTGTTGGTCACGCTGATTCGGTCTGTCCCAGCAAACCTATCTATTGTCATCTAGGAAGGGTAAACAAGAAGGTTACACCCGGGAAGATTAACATGGAACCTGATGGCATGGACCAGACTGGAAGATTACTTTCCTCTACAACCCAATGGTGGTTCCATGTTAAATTTCCGGGGTGTAAACCTGAAGGAACAGGAAGGGTAAACAGGAAGGGTAAGCAAGAACATCCTTCTTTTTGAACAAGGCTTGCAACCAGGCGCCATCATCATCCACTGGACCCTGTTTACAGGGATAGACCCAAGCAATAGATGCCGTAACATGTCGTACATGTGTGAAACGCATGGCGCGCTCGGCACAATGAATCTGCCTGTCGAGTTGAGGAATCCCTGCTATGCAGAGCTCTTTTGGGCTAGCTTGAGCCATCATTGAGACGCAAGTGCAAAGGAGGGCCCAGTAACTCACAAGGGCATCGCTACGAACGGAACAAGGACATCGCTTCGTTCGTAGCTGGAAGCTAGTTGCAGAACATTAGGCAACCAATTATTCACTTGAATTTGAAGCAGTAGGCAACATGATTGATTCACCACCTCGATGGTGAAGCAGTACACGACCTCCAGGAACTCCGATTGAAAACACTTTTCCAACACCCCAAGATCCACCCCACCAAACATGATCATGGCATTCTCTTGCTTAGCTGGTGCAAGGCCTCTTGCTGCACAAGCAGAGAGCAGCACGCTTCCCCTTTTTCCTGCACCCTAAACCCTATCAGCGGTCATCCCACGTCCGATTTGCGATGATGGGGCACCCATGCCGCGCGGGGAGATGGATGCCTCTGCTCGGAATCCTCTTGTGCATTTTAGGTGCGGAAGATGTCGCGCAGTGGAGCTAGAAGGATGTGGATGTGGATGTGGAGGAATCAGCCACCCAATCCCCAAAGGGATCGATCTTGGGGTCTTTACTTCTTTTTCCTGGGAAGCGTGGAGGAGTCGCAGCTGCAGGTGTTGTTGGGGTATCAAAGTATGTGAAGAAGTTCGCGGGCCCATCAGATAATATGAGTTGCCAAAGGATTTACCCAAACCCGGAGAATAGACACATGGAAGAAGAAATCCTCCAGTGGACCAAGCAGTTCTGTGAGTTCCTTTTCTGGTTAATGGGGGGACGTATCGCCACAGTGCTTTGCACACAGAATGCTACTTTGTCGTGCTACGCTGTAGTGGGCGGCATTTTCGCAAATCCATTTATGCTATTAGGACATCTCCACGAGAGACAAACAGTAACACCGCATAGCCGAAATGTTCACCTAAATTGGAGGGGTGAAACACGTGTTAAGTGGCCCAGACAAGACAAAAATACACAAGTTTTTCATGAGAGCCCCAGGAACCAATCTTCAAGATTGAAGCTGGGAAGACTTTCAAAGTCATGAGAAGTTCAACCAAGCCATCTCTTGTCCTGCCCCACAGAGCCAGTGCAACAGCTGAACCAGCAGAGTCACAAGAATCATCAGAAGTGATCTGGCGGGTAAGCAGCAGAAGTGATCGAGAATGACCTGCCACAAAACACCGGAAGAATGGATTCTGAACACATGAATACCATGCGACTCACGAAGAAGTGGAAGTGGAAAACCATCCCTTCAGATCATAGAGGTGGCCATGGTCTTCCCGGTGGTCAGGTGGCTAGTGTCGGAGGGTCACATCAAGATGAAGCCACCTCAACACACTTCTGGCCGCACCCAAACTCAATTCGATGAGTGGCCGCACCGTCGATCTTCGTCTTTTTTGTGAACGACGATGGCATACGCATTCGTCGCGTCAAACAGTCACGTGCATGTAGTTTCTCATGGCGCTCACAAAGCAAGCCACTTCCGGCAAATCCGCTTCGCTGCCGGCCACATCAATATATATATATATACTTTTGGCCAAAGACCAGGCCCAAGCAACGAGCGTAGGCCCAAGTGGGGTCGTCGGCATTCGGCGGGTCCACAGGTTCGCGGACCGGGCGTCCGCGGTACACTGCCTTGGTCTCGGTGGCCCTCACGCGGCAAGCGGGGCGACCTGGACGACTGCCCAAGAGTGGTGGTGCTGAAGACATCTCTTTAAGAAGAGATCCTGTTCTTTGGAAAAGCTTGCTTTGTTTAGGGGCCTGATCCATTTTTTGGCCTGCGTGCCAGCATTTCTGTCTGATGTTCATCCCCTTTTTTATGCAGTAGTTGAAACAGGTACAGATTAGAGGCCTTTGAATGGGGATCTCCAACCTTTATGCATCCTTGTTTGGAGAAAATATTTGGACAACCAAGATATTTTGGGTTTATGAGAAGCAAACCAGGCCGTCAGACCGTGGGCATCGGTCCAAGCTTCTTGAGTCGGAGAGATCCACACCCCTGGCACTGGTCATGCGTCCGCCTTCTTTGGCTTTGGGGGTGACTTTTGGGGTAGTGATTCAGGCTGGGGAGAACGTGAAGCTGCAGAAAGCCTTGGAACAGGCAGGTCATGTGTGGTGTGGCAGCACGACGAAGGAAAGCAAGATTATCTTGCAGCACCAGCTCAATCGCTAATGGTGTTCACAGGGTTTTGGGCTAGATCTAAGAATCCCGCCATTCAAAGATCACCGGGCTAATAGCTCGATCTGCGGTTTGCTGGAGACCATCGTGCTGGGAGTTCTCGTGCTGTCGGTCAAAGACACAGATTCTGTGTCTCTTGGCGGGTTTTGAGGACTGGTCCGAAGCAGGCCTGGTCACGAGCCGTGGTGGTCATGGATCGACCTGAGACCGACTGACTGGGCAGGCTTTGGCAGAGGCCCAGCTGAAAGCCCAGCTCGTGGAGGCCGCGCGAGAGTCGCGCGGGCAAGAGGAAGGATTGACTTTCGGCCGAAGAGGTTGGAACGGGTGGTCTTTGGTCCGAGAGTGTCTTGTTCGGGCAGAAGTATCCAGTTTCTTTTTCAGAGAAACCCACGGCAAACCCACAGCAAGTTCTCCTTCTTTCCTTTTTGGTCGGGAATGACCAATGCTACAAATCCAAGTCCTCCAGGCTTCGGTTTCACACCTTCATTACTCGGCTTCTTGGCTTGGCTTCTTCATCACTCGGCTTCTTGGGTGGTGACCGGCTGAGACCAGTCTCGCTTGGACCACGGCCCACCTTGCCCGGGGCCCTGCATCGAGGTGCCCTGCATCGAACATGCAGCTGGTCCCGATCTCCAAGAGCTGGAGGTGGGCGCCGCGCCGAACGAGGTCTGGACCCGAACGAGCTTCCGAACTCAGGGACCTAAGCAAGGGGGGACGAGAGTCGGTTGGAGAAGCAGGACTTGGTGACTTGGTGACTTGGATAGCTGTTTCCATGGTTAAGGTGAATGGGGGCTGTAGCCCCAGTGCCTCCCCTGGATTTCCGTTTTTTTGAGCTCAGCATCGTCAGCAAAGTGGTCAGTCAGGCGGTTTCTGTCATGGGTGAAGAGTTCTATGTGGAAAATGCTGCCTGACTGAAGCATTGAATGCTGGTCTCAATTCTTGGTTTCTAGGAGTAGCAGACTCCGATTTGAGCATGACCCGGGCTCCAAGTGCAGAGCTCTCTGCAACCCACATGCTTGTTGCTTAAGTCAGGCATATCCCCAAGGGAGCACAGGTGGATCGTGCCTGCTTCAAGCCTTTGACTCGAAAGCAACCCCTTATGTGAATCACGCGTTCTTCAGAAAAGCAAGACATGTTCCTTACGTGCGGGGAGGGAAGCGGGTAGCAGCTTCTCTAAGGAACATATTGGTTCATTCTGCTTGTGTTGAGGGGTTTGCGTGATGCTGGTAGTTCAAAGGAGGCATATTGCACTTCCAGCATTCTTAAAAGATCATCAGAGAGAGGGGAATGAACATGGCGGTGTGAAGATGGCATGAACGCAGAAGATCTGTTCGAAACACGACATCGCGTGTCGCGTTGGCGACACCCAACTCCTAGATGTCATTGAAGATGGCTGGGTCTCAAAAGGGGGTGTACCTGACCAATGTGTGTCGTTTTGAAGATTCATTTCCTGTGTGTTTCCAGAAGGGGGGGGCAGACCCCTTCTCCCTCCATCTCTAGCTGGACTTGTGCGGCTCCACGTACAGGCCTTGCTGAGCTCGAAGACTGAGGTGGAGGCAGCCGGAACTGGAGGAAATTGGCAGGGTTGCACACACCGGAGACAGAGCCTCAGACAGAGCTTCATTGAGTCACCCCACTGAAGTTGGCTTGACAAGCTTTCGGAACTTCAGCAGTTCTGCGAGGGCGGCACACGCGAAATTTTATCGCCCCCTGAAGAAAAAGGACACCTACAGGGTTGCAGTGCTTCGTTTTACGCAAGCAGCTGGCTTTAATGATCCACAGGTCTTCCTGAAATCCCAGATCCCTCTTGCGTCTTTCTTTCAATCCCTTACTGTTCAAAAAAGACCGGAAGTCGAAGGTGGACTTTTGCTGGCCCACAAGCGCTTTGTTTGTATACATATGAATTGTTTTTTCCAGGACATTGCTGACAACACTGACAATGTACAACCTTCTTGACTCTTGACACTTCTTGACCCTTGAAAACTCTACACAAGTGGCTTTGCAGTCAGGTGCCCGTCGTGCTTGTGGTTTGACAGCTAAAAAGGTGATACCTCTAGTGACTCTAGTGATGAGTATCCGATCGTTTCGCGCTTCCCAAGGCGTCACAAATGTTCTTTTTGTCCAGGAACCGACTTGAGGCGCGTTTTCAGACTATTCGCGGTGATTCTATAGGGGGGCCGACTGTCTCTTTGATGCTCCGATCGGTCAGCCAGGAGGTGGTGCTTCTGACTTCACCCGAGGCACGATCAAGTCTGTTCGCGTGAAGAACAAACGAGTCCGTTTGGCCCGACCGAACTGGCAAAAAGACCTGGTGGGTTCATCTTTCGCTTCCTGGTGGGTTCAAGGTGGATGTTTAGTAGAAAAGGAAGAGAAGAAAGCAGAGAATCCCGGTTTCTAAAGATCCCGGAAAACAGGATGTGGCAGTCAAGTTGGGGTGTCTGCAATGCTTCGCACATCCACCATGGCTCTTCCTAAGAAGCTCTGATCGTCGCACATCTTGAGATCTGAGCGCTGGAACAAGCCCTCTGGCCCAGGTACGTTGAACCTACTTCTGGGATCCTAAAGGGCAAGAGCAGCCCACAAAAACCAGTAATAAAGTGTTTGTACTACAAAGATCAATAGGCTCTGCCTCGAACATTGGACTTTTTTCGGCAAATGCACCTCAAAAAGGGTTCGGAGAAGTCGATGAACACTGTTGGTGAAGGAGGTCCTTGATTTCGTGACATACCTTGACCCAAAACAACACCCGAGTGAAAATGCCTGGACCCAAAAGAGATGAACTTGGATGCCGAGTGTTTTCCTCGACCGCCGTTGGATGCCACCAGGTGCCAAAGAAAGAGGCAGAAGCTAATGTAGACTCTTGATTGATAAACCTTCCATATGAAGAGGCTTCCTTTTTCAATCCAAATGGAGGGGGAATTCTGCGCTTTCCACCTTTGCACGCACCGAACAGCGCAGGCCGCGAGGGTCTTTGGTGAGGCTTGGCGAGCAGCCAGGCAGGGCGAAGGGTCGTTTTTCGCCATGGCTCAAAGCGGTGTGGGAAGTGGTTCAGTCCCTGATCGAGTTCATCACCGGTGATTTGGTCACACGTGTTTAAATTGATCGGTCCAGCAGTTCCTGGACAAGCTCCTTGGTTCCGGTTCTTGTTCCAATGCAAAGCGTGAGTTCGGATCGATTGAAGAGTTCAGCAAGGTATGACAGACCTTGAGAATGTTCTGTTCATGGTGCGCACCATTGACTTCTTGAAATCCTGGTAGCGCTCATTCTACACGACGAACTCGAACTTCTTCTTCTTCTTCTTCTTCTCCTCCTCCTCCTCCTCCTCCTTCTTCTTCTTCTTTGCAAACATATGCTACTTCCTCTGCTCCGAAAACCCCCCCACCGCGTGGCACCGCAGATCTTCAGGTCACCCACCTGCCGCGTGGCCTCCGTCCGGGGTCCCGCCCAACGCCCAACGCCCGGACCGAGCGCTTTCCCCACCAAGTGCTGAATTGACGCAGCGGAGCGTGAAGGGAACGTTTTCCGGACGCAGCGAAGAAGTTCTGGGGGGGGGGGGCCAAAGTGACACAGTGAGCGAAGAAAGTCTCGTGAATCCTAGTTTTGTTTTGTATATTTTTTGGTAGCCGGACAAGACCCCTTCAATTTTGTGCTTTCCTGGGGCCAAATCTTGAGACACATTTCTACATGCTTTCAGCGGCGGGCTCATGTTCCGTACCGTATCCCTGAGACGGTTTGTTTTTTGTGGATAGCCAGTCGGGCCTTCGGGTTTCATGCTCTGCCTCACAGCCGCCCGGTGGGATCGTTTGGCTACGTGGATCGCCCGTCGCGGACTTCGCCTGACAGTTGAAGCGGCCAGGCCGTGTGTTGGTGGGGTTGGGACACCCTGAGTATCAAGGTCGGGAGCGGAACGCACTGCGCGGATCGAACGGCTTCGTCTGGAGGATCTTGGCCAATGGCTGGCAGTCAGAAAGGCAGTGTGATCCATCGGGGGGGGTGGAAGCTCCATGGGGGAAGGCGGAAGCTGTGAGCTCCAAGTGCGGATCGGTTGTGACTGACGACGTCAGGTTTCCCAGACCTAGCAAAACCCGAGTAGGAACGGCACGTCCCCAGCTTTCGAAGCTCGTTCAAGGTTGGCAAAGGAACCAGCGTGGGGATCCCAGTGACCGGGGAGGCCGACCATGGATGTATGTTGAGGCTTTTGACATCTTTTGACCCTATTGGGGAAGCGAGAAGAAACCTGGTGTAGTCTATCACTTTGGTGTAGTCTACCCATTTTGGAGTGACACCAAAAGCTGGTGGTGCATTTTGGAGAGACTACCCAAGACATCCAAAATCCAGGCTTCCAGGCGAAAGTTACTCAGGCACCAAAGAGAAAGTTGTATTTATCAAGTTTTTTGTTCAGTCTAGGTGTGTTGAGTTGGATTTTGAGTGATGCTGGTCGTTCAAGAGAATCCAGAATGCACTTCCAGCATTCGTGAAAGATACACTCCCTGAGACCATCATGGAAGTGGAACATGGCCCGGATAGGATGACCATGTTCCGAACACCAAACTCCATGGTATCAATCGCATTGTAGGTAGTCATAGTTTGATGTATACCATCATTATTTTCAGCAACACTCCCGGTCAATCATAAATAACAATACCACATGAGTCCTGAGTGGGAGTGTGATCACGAGGTTGCCGACCTTTCGACCTCGCCGAGGTGGCCGCTGCAGCGTTCGGCTTGGAGGTGATCTTCGAGCCGAGCAAGGCCAACGCGGAGACTTTGGTGCCTCGGCATCCCAAGTGATGGACGGCCCCTGCGTGAGCCATGCGGATGGTTTGTCACTTGTTCGTCGGAACCTGAGGGCGGTGAGCCAGGCCTCAACATCTCTAAAGTAGAACAGGCTGCGGGTGAGGTCAAGCTCGAAGTGAATGCCAAGACCAAAGACCGGAAGAGTTTCGGTCGGAATCCACGGCCTTCTCTGATCTTCTGAGAGATACATGTTCGATAACCACTCGGGCGATTTCCAGTCCTTTGTACAAAAGAAGTTGGTGGATTGCATTAAACTTGGGCCAACTTCCAGGAGTCACAAAGGGGTGCCTATTGGAGGTTAGGGGTGCCCATTATCCACTCACTTAGGGACCAAACACCACCCCTTTGTGACCCCTGGTTGGTGTTCGATTCTCCTCATTTTCCCTGGCCCCGCACCGCTGAGCTCGGCAGCTCTCAGACCGTACCGTCTCCAGGCGGTGGAGCTGCCCAGCGCTCTGGGGCCCAAACTCTGGCCGGGAGCCTCACGTAGAAAGAGGCCCAACTCTGCTGAGGCTTTCAGGTCGAACATCAACAGCCATGTTTTTGCTTTGGAGATGGAGCAGCATGGTCTTGGTTTGGCTTCCACATGGATTTCCCCCATGTTTGCCGATGTTTTGGGGGGTGAAACTGTCTGGCGTTGGACGCAGCGGGTCCTTACTCCGACTTCGTTGTTCGTTCGGTCCTTTTTTTTGGAACCGAGCTTGGGGAGCATGACCCGAAACATGGGGAGCATGAGACCTTCAGACGGAGAGAATTTGGACTAGGGTGAAGAGGATTTGAGACCTCCAGCGAGGCAACACCTCGGTGTATGTGAGACGGTCAGCAGCATCTTGACGTCTCTCAAGATCGAAGCATCTTCTAATGCACAGCCCCGATTCCAACGCGCACCAACTGCGTCTGAAGGAGAGCTCCACCATTCGGAGAGCTCCCGTCATTTCCAACAAAACCTCCAAAGTCAACAGCACGGGATCTTAGAATGTTTGGCCAGGGTGCCATGAGTTTGGATGTGAAGGGTGTGAGCTGATGCCATGAGCTGACGCCATGAACTTGGTGCTCTAAGACGATGTCCAAGCTTTTGCAATTGTTGTCCGGTGCTGGCAGGAGGCGTTTTCCGGGCCGGCCCGGTGACCGGGTTGTTGGAAACCCGGCTGCCGGCCGTGATCAGGTGATCAGTCCAAAATCCATCAAGTATAACTCCAGATGCTTGCTCATACCAATATGACCAATGTGTTGTTTTGGTGGTTCGGAACCCACTGCCCACCCCTCCCCCAAAAGGAATGGCTCACCTGCCAGCACACCTTCCGGTCGAAAAGCTCCACTTCCGCCCGCTCCACCGCGCTCTTGGAAGCTCAAACCCATCCCCGAACGGTCTTTCCCGGTCTTTTCCCTGCACGTTTCCAGCGAGCTCAACCTGCTATTGTGGGATCCTAAGCTGTGCGAAACATCTCGGTCAGTGTATCTTTCCCCCTCAAAAAAGCAGCGAGTCATCATCAGCCAACTGATGTTTTCTTCACACGGTTATCACCGCCCTTTCTGAAAGCCTTCGCATCATAGATATCAAAGAAAAGCCAGGTTGGAGAAATGCACTTGGACTTATGAAATGAAAACCCGAAGACCGAAAATGTCGTCCGGTGTAGCCAAACAACTTTTTTCCTCCAACACGCCAGTGGCACTTGCATCTTCAAGTTTTCCTGTACAGGATTGGATGTTTACTTAGAGGATCTTGATTCACGACTTTTCTTTGCCTTGCTCGTTCGATGATTTTTTTCGCGGAGAAGTTTCGCTGCGTGGCCTTGCGCCATGATCATGCTTGCTTCGGAGCTCATCCGAGGCCAACCTCTTAAACGATGTCCATGTCCTTGGAGTACAAGTTCACCTTCATCAACGTGTTGGAGGATTGGAACGATGCAACTTCTCTTGGTGATGGGGCGAGGTTTGTCCCTTGCGATGACGTCAAAACGAAGATATGGCCAAGTGGGAAAGCTCTTTTGGGTGGACTCTTCTGTCCAGCCTCGGGGTTTTAAGCATGCAGGAGGTGGACGAGGAGCGCTCATTAGCCACCTTCAGACGATCCAGCAGCCTGCCACCTCGCCGCTGGGCGGAGTTAAAGGGTGGTTCCTCTCATCACCGCATTTGGGCACTGCTGGGGCGCTAGGAGCTTATCCATGCCGAAGCGAGGGTGTGGCTGGCGTCTGCATCGTTTTGAAGCGTTTTTGAGCCATGAGGCGCCCAGTTCCCTGAGGGGCCGAGGGTGCCGGGGTGAGTCAGGCTGGTGCCTGGACATGACTTCAGTCCATGGGACCTGGGGACAGGTAGGAGTTTGATTCTCCCTCTCCGGCGTTTTTCCTTTTGTTTGGTTTTCTTGTTCTTGTCGTCCTGCCTGCGTTTCTATTTTTGTTGAGCCCTGAAGCGTGGCCCCTGCATGTCTGTCACCGATCGTCCCCCAATCAGTGCATGTTTCCCCTGCGACACGTTGGCAAGGGCCCAAACCTGAGATGTGCAGCGAGATCCTCAGCACTGAAGAGCAGGCGCGAGGAGGTGACCGGCGCGAGGTGATGGTGCATGGTGGATATTTTTGCCCCGCTTGGAGGTGGTGAACATGTGTTGGATTGGCACCTTTTGGACTGGCATATGAGCCACGGTCAAAACATGCGAAGACCACTTTAGTAAAGAGGGGTAGGTTTGTGCACAAAACCCTGCAAAACGATAAGGTCCACCTCAAAACCGATAACCCCAGCGCTGTATATGGTCATAAGTATGCGACGAACTCAAAACGCTGTAAAACGATAAGGTCCACCTCAAAACCGATGACGTCCATTTTTTAGCTGAAGAAGAATAAGGAGTTTTGACCGTCCCTCATATGTCTATTGTTGACTTGATTCCTTCATCAAGTCGCCAGAAAGGAGTCTGATTGCCATGTTTGGAAGCACCCTCTCGGTGCCATGCACAGTGCGTCGTGCCGGACGGGATGTGTCGGAGGATGGACGCTATGTGCAGACCCTGACCGAGAAGCTCCCCGGAATTTTCGGCGCTAAGGCCCAGCGCCCCTATGTGCCCAGCAAAGTCATGTCATGTCATGTCGTGCAGCGAAGAAAAGGGTCAAATTTAGATGTTTTTCAATGTTTTTCCTGTCCATCCGCTGAAGAAACATGTCATGTCACGA